TCTCCCCGGCTTTAAATGAACTTTATGTTTCCAGAAAGCTAGTGAAAGAAGCATTTGTTCTGGTGATAGTAGTTTGCTGCTTTTACAAACAGGGAACAAGAATAGAGGGTTAAAGAATATTTATTTTACTGCAGCTGATAACTAACTCTTAAAATGTGTCAGATCTCGTGATGCACAGTGACAAAGACATTTTGAAATACTTGTGTTAAAGAATGCAGAAACAGGGTGTTGTGGGTTTCTTTCCCAGATAAACCTGGAGAAGGACTGCAGCTCACAGTGCATGCTTTTCATGCAGATTGGTTGAGGTTCAAATCCTGGCATCACCAGGAAATGTTGCGAGGGGATGCTAAATAATATTTATTTGTTTTGTTAATGTGCCACCTTTTTCTTGGAAAGGACTCACAGATAAAATAAAGAATAAAAATATAAAGACAATTTTAAAGAACACAAATAGAACACATACCCCATATAATGGCCTCCCTGACAAAGATTATATATTAAAAGCCTACTTGAATAAAAAACATCAAAAAGAATGCATTAAGGGGGCCAGCCTAGTCCCATCATGGAAGGATGCTCCAGACTCAGAGGGTGGGAGCAGACACTGAGAAGGCTCTCTCTAGTGCCTGTGATGGTGGCGGGACTGAATTAAAGCCTTCCCCTGAAGATCTTAGACTTTTTGTAGGATTGTATGTGGAGATAGTCTGGACCAAAGTTGTATAGGGTTTTACAGGTCATAACCAGCACTGAATTGTGCCTGAAAATGAACCAATATCAAGTGAAGCTGTTTCAACAAGAGAGTTATATGTCTGCTTTAGCTGGCTTCTGTCAGCATTCTGGTCCCTGCATTTTGAACCTGCTGAAGTTCCCAAACAATTTCTAATTGGAGCCCTATGTAGAATGCATTGTGTATCACAGTAATCCAAATGGGATATAATCAAGGTATGTGTCACCATAGCCAGAACTGATGTCTCACATCAAGAAACAGGCACAAATGGTGCACTAGTTTTAACTGTGCAAATGCACTTCTGGCCACTGCTGAAACCTGGGCATCCAAGCTCAGAGGTAAGAACACCCAAGCTGCGAGCCTGAGATTTCAGGGAGAGTATAACCCCATTCAACACAGGCAAAGTTCCCATTCCCTGATCTGCCTTTCAGCTGATCAAGAGCATCTCCATCTTGTCTGGATTAAGTTGTATCAAATATCAACTTGACAGACCATCGATCTGAGTGGGTATAAGATGACTATTAGGTCCAAATTTTGAAAGTCTTATCTTTGTAATATTTATTTATATTGTTTTGTTTCTATGTATGAATCCTGTATTTTAGTTTGGAAGTGTTTTTGATTGAAAATTAGTCTTCCTGGTGCTGCAAAATTTCTAAAATTCTCAATGGCCAAGTTCAGGAATGCTCTTTACCACGTGGAAACATTACACCCCATGGCTAATTCCAAATAATGGTTGGATTCAAATTTATTGTTTGGCTGTGGATGATCTCCATATACAGAACAAAGGCATTCTGTACATTCTCAGAAACAATTCTGGTGGGGTTTTTTATTGGTACTAGAAAGACATGTCAAAGTTAAGCACAAGTAAAGCCTGGACTTATAATAAATCCTACAGAGTCAGTGTACAATGGCTGGACACAATGACAGCTAATGACATTCGGACCAATTGGAGCAGTGATTCCACTCTTGATATTTGTCCAGATTTTAAAGGACCCATCCAAGGTTCTGAGAACCAGTGCAGCATAGTGGTTTGAGTGTTGGATTACAACTCTAGAGACCAGGATTCAATTCCAGCTCAGCCATGGGTAACCTTGGGCAAGTCACATGGTCTTAGCCTCAGATGAAAGTAATGGCAAACTTCCTCTGAAGAAATCTTGCCAAGAAAACCCTGTGATAGCGTCAGAAACAACTTGAAGGCACATAACAAGAATAACAATAACATCCTAGGTGCTGCACTCTAATTCCCAAATAGGCCCAACACCCGGAGCAGATCCACCAGTTGCCACAGACACAATGACAGTATTTTAACAAAATAAATCTACACAATTTAAAAAATAATATATATATATACCGTATATATTACTATTTTTAAATTGTGTAGATTTATTTTGTTAAAATACTGTCATCCCATTCTATATATACAAACCCTTATAGAAGTATCCAATAAAGTTAATTTAAAACAATTTAAAAACTGAAATAGTAAAAACATTTTACAGTCTAAAACATATTTATCTAACAAATCAAAACTGTTAAAGCCACAAACATGTACAAGCAGGATAAGATAATCAGACCTACTCACTTCAAATTATTATTATTATTATTATTATTATTATTATTATTATTATTTCATTAATTTATATCCTGCCTTTCTCCCAGTAATGGGACTCAAAGTGGCTAAGAGCATATTTAAAACAATACAAATTAAAAACTACAAGAGCATGAATAAAAGTATAAATATAAGATTGAGAGCCTTATTACATTATAAAAGACAGGACACAGCAAGATAGAAGTGGCTTTCTGTTCACCTTCCCACATGACGATGTAGTACTTCCGTTGTCCCTCCAGAGGGAAATGGTCATAAAAGCTTGCCTTTTTCCAAATGGGTTTTTCCAGAATGACAAAAGGTATGCTTTTGCGATAGTCTCCCTAGCAAATAGAACGGAATTGCTTTGAGAGCACATGGAAAGGTAAACAGAAAGTGAGTTCTACCTCACTGCCTTTCAACTTACTTTTGTATTGTGATAAGGCTCTTATAAAACAATTACACTATTTATAAAGTTTAAACATTAAAAATATTAAAAAATTATTAGAAGACTATATGGATATGGCTGCGACATCTATCACCTCATTGATTGCCAGGGTTGATGCAGCTGATCTGGCTGGCTAGACAGGTGTCCCCTTCCTCCCTCACCACTCCATGTGAGTCCCTCCTGAACCTATGTGCTTGGTGGAAGAGGACAACCATCCCAGATAGGAGTGTACCATTCTTCAGTCAATGGTATATGATAGCTGCGCACCCCTGCTAGAACCTCCAAACAAGCTGAAGGATTATATAGAAACACTCCCACACACCATTAAAAGCCTAATCCTAACTATTCAGTGAAAGTCTGACATCACAATAATATTTTGATCTGCCAATGAAAAGAAAGCAAGGACGAGGCCATCCTGGCTTCTCTAGGAAGCGAGTGTGGGATCAGCCATTGAGAAGGCCTTCTCCCTTGTTCCCACCAAAGAAGCCTGAGAAAGTGGTGGGACAGAGAGAAGGGTCTCTCCAAATCTTAGAGCTCTGAATATAACCCCTGGTAGAAGTGCATTGTTGTGTGCATTTATCAGGAACACTTCCAGAGGACAGGGGTCTCACGTTCTGTTCTCCCCAATGACTTAAGAGGTTTTCAGTGTGCCTTACCACCAGTAAGCCACTCTTGCTCTTAAGGGATCCCTATGGAAATTTCATGGTGAAATACCATATTTCTATAGTTAATAAAGCACATGTGGGGCTTGTTTGTTTGCTTATTAAAATACATATATCCTGCCTTCTGTCTGAAGATCTCAGGACAGTATATAATAAAATCAATTTAAGACAGCAAATAACAGTAACAATAATTTTGAAGACTAAAAATATATGATGCCATTTATCACTTCAAGTCAGACAATTTAAATGCATTTTAAATAATTTAAAATTATGCCACCGATAACATATGTACAAATTGGATACAATTAGTTAGGGCCCAAAGGCTCTCTCTCTCTCTCTCTCTCTCTCTCTCTCTCTCTCTCTCTATATATATATATATATATATATATATATATATATATATATATATAAACTTGGCACTGAACTGATAGTGGTGTTGCCACCAAGCAGGCCTTGAGGGAAGGGTATTCCATAATTGGAATAGCATAGCATATAGGAGGCCTTAGTGGTGGTTGCATTATAGATTTACAAAGGATATGATTGAGATTTCATTATTTCTTTAATTTACATCCTGCTTTTCTCATGAAAGGTCTAAAAAATAAATTGAAGGATAGAGGGAAGGTTACTGAGCCAGGTTATGGACCTGCACAGACCAGCCCTAAAAGCTGGTTTCCCAGCAGCTTGGGGGGCATGTCATTTAGATGCCACACCTCCCAAGATGTCTTGAAGCCACCCAGTGAATCAGATGGCTTGGGGGCATGGTGTTCAGACACCACACACCCAGAAGCCACCCTGGAACTGGAACTGCATTTAGTGCCTTAAACCCGGCCCAAATAGAAGTGGATCTTTCCTGCTCCTATTTGGGCTGGATTCCCAGTAGATTGCAGCTGAGGGATGTTCTTGCCATGGCCCCAAGGCATCTTGGGTGGGGTGGCTTCAATCTGCCCCTTCGTGCCCATCTGTTCCACCTCATTCTCAGAACCTAGGGCCTGGATCTCTGGTGTTGGGGGGGAGGAATTTTAGGGCAAGAGCACTGTCTTGAAAAGTGTGCATGTACTTATGGTTCCTCATTTATTAGATTTTGTGTTTGGATTTTTTAGCTATTTGGATGGGGCACTCAGTGGTGTAGTGACTTGAACGTTGGATTATGGCTCTGGATGCTTTTTTGGGGGGTTCCCATTTCTCTTTAAACATGGGTGGGGCAGGAGTGTGTAGTAATAATAGGACTACAGCAAGGTCTGGATGCAACTGATACATTTACTCCAGGCTGCTTACTGGTTAAGGGCCAAGGGGAAGGATGTACTTTACTTCTTTCCTTCTTCAGCCACTTCCTGAATCTCCTGATATTTCTGTTATCATCAACATTTTGTGTATTATTTGAACTACCAAGTAAAATGCATGGGATCAGGTGAAGAGTCTCACCAAAGTTACAGGGATGAAAGAGGGTTTACAGATTAAGATTTTATGTTGCTCCCTATTGTGTTATGTGTGTTCAACTTGATTCTGATTTATATGACTGTATCACAGGGTTTTCTCAGAAAGAATTTTATTCATAGTTATTGGCCATTGCATTCTTCTAAGGCAGAGAGTGTGGCATAGTGGTTTGCCTGCTGGGCTAGGATTCTGGAGACCAGGGTTCAAATCCCCACTCAATCATGGAAATTCACTCCTTTTCTTGCCTTCTTTCTGTCACAATTTACATTATCTCACCTTCAGAGAAAGGCAGTGGCAAACCCCCTCTGCAGAAAGCATGCCAAGAAAACCCTGTGATAGATTTACCATAGGGTCTCCATAAAACACCCCTTTGAGCTCACCTCTTTTTGATCATGATGTCGTTTTCCTTCATAAAAACTAGGTTTTTAAAGTAAATCAGCAAATTAATAGGAAGGGGGATAGATTTGTAGATGTGTAAATTGTTGTGGCACCAGAGCACTCCAAAAGAGACATTTAAATATCTCACAAAACTACAGTTCCCAGAATCCCATAGCATTGCCATGGCAGCTAAAATTGTGTCAAACTGCAATAATTCTGCAGTGTAGATGTGCAGCCTTAGTTCAAGATACATGTTTATAGGACCACAACCTCAAAGATATTTGTCTCAGAGTGAGACATATAACTCCCAGACTGAGGGTTTGGAGAACTGTAATCAAAACAGTTTTGTATGCTGCCTGGAGAATTTGAGGACTTCTAGTCCAAAAAGTGACTTTTCCCAAGCTCTGTTATTTCTTTTGTTGATGAGTGATGTCAGTTGGAGAATTTAGGAAACTGAAGTTACTTCTTTATAGAAACTTAACACTGATTTCCTCTAGCTGAAACCACAAAACTTTTTTGCTTATGTCCTGATGTCAGCTTCACAAGTACTGGCTAATGCATGTTTGTCTGAACAATAGTTCTTTTTTTAAAAAGTCCATAGTAGTAATTGAAAATGAAATAAATCAATTTAAATTTACAAACAGGGAGAAAGAAATAAGTAGCTTTTCTCCATGCCCATGAGCGTTTTAGTTATAAGCAGCTTAGGACCTCCTAGTGTCATTCAGGAGCAGATGCAGATACAGAAGCAGAAGTAACAAAATATAATTGGTGATGGTGGTAGTTGATAGAAAGCTATTCTTGTGATACTTCCGGCTGTACTGGAAAGACAGAGACAGGATATCCCATTGAAACAGGCTTCAGTTACATAACATCCATCCTTGTTTTGCAGAAACAAGTGTCTTGGCTTAGAGGCATTGCACAGCACGACTTGGAAAACATGTTCGTTTGGACATTAGCTCCCTGAACCCTCCACCAGTGGCCATGATGGTTGTAGTTTTATTCCAAAACAAGCACTGGTAAGATTCCTGAAGGCAAAGGTATCACTCCCATTGCTAAAAAGCAGCAGAATAATAACAAGAGCTCAACTAATCTAGCTTCCTGTTTCAAAAAGTAGCCCTTTCACACTACACAGTTATTGTACTCTGGTTCCATTTTTCCTGCCATAGCTATATCCTGTGGAATCCTAGGACCTGTAGAGGTGCTAGAGCTTTCTGGCTCAGAATTCTAAACACCCTTCCCTAAACTGCAAATCCCAGGATTCCATAGGATGGAAAATGTGGCAACTGAAATGGAATCACAGGACTATAATTATATCATGTGAAAGGATCCCAGATATCTTCAGAGCATCCTCCCCTAAACAAAACCTTAACAGTATGCAAAGGGATCTTATAGCACCTTACTGAAGGAATGTAGTTAGTAGCATGAACTCTCGTAGACTTGACCCTGCTTCCCCAGAACCATTTTTGGAGAGCCAAAAATGTATCTGAGGAAGTATACTCAAGTCCACAAAAACTCATGCTACCAACTTCTTTCTTTAGTCTCAAAGGTTACAAGATCCCTTTGCATACTGATTTTCCAGACTATGGCTATGTTTTGAACAAAACCTAACAGGAGTAGAATTCAGAGGATAGCCATGTTGTCTGGAATATCAGTATGCAAAGGTATCTTGTAGCACCTCAAGTATGTAGTGGCATCTGAGGAAGAAGGCCATGTCAAGCACAGTCAGTCTCAAGGATGCTACAAGATCCCTTTGTATACAAAACCTAACAGTTGTTTGGAGTGCTGGCTAGGGCTATGCTGGCTTGAGTGATGAGAGTTGTAGTCTAATACATCTGGAGTTTTTCGGGTTTAAAAAGGTTATGGACTAGGATCAGAAAAGGAAGTCCTTTTCTCTCTTCAATAATGTGCGGTAAGAAATAAAATCTCCTTGGTCAGAGCTAGATAGGTCTTCCCTCCTGCCTTTCGTGCCTTCTTTCTTTCTTTCTTTCTTTCTTTCACAATAATAGATTTCGATCAGAGCAACCACCCACACCACCTCAATGGTATTTTATATCTCACCTTACTCCTGGCACAATGTGACAAAGAACTTAGATTAAAACAAAGTACAGCTTAAAAAAAATGAAAAAAAATGAAAATAATTTTAAATAAACAATTCTATTAAATCAGTTTAAAAGACATATAAAACATAATGTGACATAGTGGTTTGAGTGTTAGACAGTGGCTCTAGAGATCAGGGTCCAATTCCCCACTCGGTCATGAAACTCACTGGGTGCCCTTGGGCAAGTTACATGCTCTCAGCCTCAGGGGAAAGCAATGGCAAACCCCCTCTGGACAAATCTTGCCAAGAAAACCCCATGATAGAGTTGCCTAAGGGTCACCATAAGTTGGAAATCACTTCAAGGCACACAACAACAAAACATAGTAAAGAAGATTTTTAAAAAGCATGTCAGATCAAAAGACCTTTTTGATACACTATTCCTTTTAAAAACACAGTGAGCACTGTTGGCTCTTGTACCTAGGCAGGGTTGGCCTTTTGACGTTTTGCTGCCTGCAGTGAACAAGATGGCTGTCCTCCAATTTTATGTACAAAAGCCAACTGGAGTGGCAGTTCAGTCTTCCTTGAACACTAGTGATGGGTCCAGACCTTGAAAAAATTCTATTTAAACTAATTCATTTCTCTAAAAGCATGACAGTGTTTGAAAATGAAATCTGTTGCTGTTACACATTGCAAAGTTGAGAAGGTAACTACCGTATTTTCCGGCGTATAAGACGACTGGGCGTATAAGACGACCCCCCCATTTTTCCAGCCAAAATATAGAATTTGGGATATACTCGCCATATAAGATGACCCCCCTTTCCAACACTCACCAAATAAAATTTTTAAAAAATTAGATTTGATTTCAATATGGTAAT